TTCCTACTTTAGAAGAAACCTTTTCTCAATGTATAAGGTATTCAAAAAATGTATATACACACTTAGAATAATAAAAAGGCAGTATTATTAAAATAGATTTCATTTTCAAAATTGAGCTATCAGCTGTTAAAGTGTATACATTTTAGGGGGACACTGTATTATAGAATTATTACCTGAAACCTATATAATTGCATTAACCAGTTTCACCCCAATAAATTCAATTAAAAAAAATAGAAATTAAGCCCTGGCGGGTAGCTCAGTTGGTTGGAGCATCGTCCCGATATGCCAAGGTTGTAGGGTCAATCCCCAGTCAGGGGTCAGGGCACATACAAGAAGCAACCAATAAATGCATAAATAAGTGGAACCACAAATTGATATTTTGTGCGCGCTCTCTCTCTTTTCAAATTAAAAGTTAAAAGAAGAAAAACTCTCAAGAAATAGTTGTTGAATCCACTTTTAGTCAAATCATCATTGTAAGCACCCAATAAACCTCCACATCTCCCCACACTGGCTTGCTAATGTTTCCATGTTTATTATTCAACTGCTCGTAAAATTCTGAGTTCGAACATGAAGTTCTGGCCTTGCTATTTTACATAGAAACCGCTAACATGATGTTCCACTTTGAATTTAAACCTCAACACTCATGTTAGCGTTTGCTCCCTCTTTGTGAAGAGCCCTGTCTTCGTTCGCCTCAGTCAGTCACGCCCCGGGTTTCACTGCATCCCGTCAGATGCTGCCCCTCGGGCGAGCTCAGTGCCGTCACACCAGGGCAGCAGCGGTTCTAAGGGACGTTACCGGTTGGCCTCGAATTCCTGGAAGCCCAGTGCTGCCCTGAGGTCCTTGGGATCCGGGGGGCCCTGCCAGGCCGGGGGGCCCAGAGGGGCCTGCGGAACCCTGTCAGAGAGAGAGACACCGTGAGCAGAGACCGGAGGAGCCTCCGCCCACAGCCGAAGCCCCGTGTCCACTTGAACTTCACGCAGCGGAAACGCGGGTGCTCACCGTTGGGCCTTTGGCGCCAGGAGTACCGTCCGTCCCCACTGCGCCCTGAAAGGTAGAGGAAAAGTCTGTCACACGAGCAGCCATGTCTAGGGGGGTCCTCTCAGGCGTCTACCATCTTCCAAAAGGGAGACCATAAGTCACCACCCAAAAACTCAATGGCCATCACATCGTAAAAGTAACTTTGATGGCGTTTTCCATCATTCAGAGGCGGCTGGCATCACCAGGGAACTGGATCTTCTCCTGAGCTGCAAGCTCGCGGTCAGCAGCCAAGCGGGCCCTGTGCGGCCGCCCTGGTGCCGGAGCTGCACACCCCGGCCTCCGGGCCGCCTCCCAGGCCTGGCACTCACCGGGAGGCCCTCCTGGCACAGGGCCTGGTGCTCACCAGGAGGCCCTGCGAGCCCACGGGCCCCGGCGGCCCCGTCTCGCCTCGCTGCCCCTGTGGGCCTTCCGGGCCTCGGGCGCCAGTGGGACCTGCTTCTCCCTAAAGGGGAGCAAAGAGAAACGTCCATTTTAGGAGAAGGTCAGCACGGGACGATTCCAGTAGATCGCATCCTTGAGTTTCACATTTAGCCCAGATCTAAGGGGGCGAGAGCACAGCTCCCTGCAGGGCTGGGCCTGACCTGGGCGAGGCTGCCTTCCCCCCGCCCCCCCCACTTGGGGCAGGATGTGGCCGCTAAGGGCAGCCTGGGAGCCGCCTATTCCAACCCGAGGGTGCGGCCCCGAGAGGACACCAATGCTGGGCGTGCAGTTAAGTTTTCACTCAGATAAACAGCAACTAATTTTAGTATAAGTTTGTCCCATGAAATATTCGGGACATATTTGTACCAACATTTATACTTCGTTGAACTGAAATTCAAACTTAACTAGGTTTCTGCATTTTACCCGCCATGTTCTGTGCGTAGGTATACCTAATGCTGACGTTCCAGAACTAGAACCCGAAGCTTGAGGGAGCTCATGGGAACCAAGAAACCACATGAACTCCCTGCTCAATCCCTGTCGCCCTTCACGGAGACGCAAAGAGCCGGAGGTAGAGTGTGTTCTCCAGCCGAGGGCCAGGGCCATGGGAGGCCCTTAGAGGCACAGAAACCCGGGGTCTCACGGGGATGCTGGGTGTCGGACTTCACCAGGCAGCTCTCAGGAGCCATGGGCAGTGCTGGCAGCACCTGTGAGTGGGGTGACGTGTGGCTGCCCCTCTGTGGAGCCCAGTCCCAGGCGCCCTAAGGTTCTTCCCTTAACCCCCAGCCGGGCTCCTGCGAGGGCGAGGGCCTCACGGGAAGGGGGAGGGGGCTGAGGGCAGGATTAGGACTTCAGGGAGCAGAACAGATGTGGGGAACAGAAGGTCCCAACTGCCTGCGCTCAGAGTGAGTTGTTGTGAGGAAGGGACGACGGGGAGTGAAAGACCCAGGGCAGCTCTGGAGAGCAGCCGACCCCGACCCTGACCCCGGGGCAGGGGTTACAGGCGGCAGGAGAGGCTTGAGAACAACTAGACTTGATGCCGCTCACGCTTCAGGGAGTGTCCGACGTGTCAGTGTGGACTGAGTGTGTTCGTTTTTGAAGCTCACGTCCAATTCGAGTAGAACTACTAACAAGAAGCAGAGATGAACCAAAGGATGAACATGCATAAGCCACGGACACAGACAGTCGTGTGGTGAAGGCCTGGGGTGGGCAGGTGTGAGTGGAGGGTCAGTCAGAACCAAAGGGGGCGTCTGTAACACTTTCCACAATAAGGACAGTTTCTGAAAAGCAGGGACCCCCCTGAGGGCCGGACGCGAAGCCCTCTGTGTGCACAGATCATCCCACTGCCTTGCCCACAGCTTCCAGGAGGAGCCAGACTGGGAGACGCGAGGGGATGGCGGGCCGTGGCCATTTCTGCGCAGCAGGACCGTGAGCCAACGCCCCCCGAGGGGAGACAGGTGCGGGGAGCAGGCGGAGGGGGCGATACGGATGTGCTCCCGGGCTCGGCTAATACAGCGTCACCCGCTCCTGCTGCTCCCTGCGTTTTCTATCCAGAGTGTCGGGGGAACAAACTGTGATCCTCTACAAGGTGAATGGCCCCAGCAGAATGCGTCAGTCCGT